CGAAGTAAAATTCCTACTCACACATTACAAAACTTAATAATAATTGAAAATTACTATCACACGCGATCATATACAGATTGTTCAAATTCTTCCTTAAATAAATTTTTTTTACTAATTTGATCTATCACAAGAAATTTCTTTTTTTCAGTTCCGATAAAACTTACACAAAACTCAACGTGAACCGATCATAAATTTCCCGAATCGAAACTTCCATTCCAATATATCAAATCCAAGTTGGAGAAAACATCACGTGGTATTATTTTGAAGTTCGAATCGTGGTCACAACAGATTCTTATCAACTAGAACTATTAATAGAGGCACGGGCAACAGGTACTCCCGTTGGAGAGGGTGAAGTGGCGCACCCTTATTAGGGTAGACCGCCGTAATATTTCCTTTCAGGAGGTTTCGAACCGCACTTTAAAACGCTTGTCGTTGCTCATTTCCAACGGCTTATGCCTCGTCAATCCTCGCCCTCATCCACAACCCCTATCAATGCCTGCGTCATGAGGCTTTGCAATGACCCAAATTCACAGTTAACGATTCGACGATGATGTTTTCGGCTCGATCGACGAGTCGAATGGCCGAATCTTTCGGCCATTTCGACCGATTTCTATGTTAACAATTAAAACATAGAAACACGCTCGAATCTATCTACCCTCTTCGTTGATTAGATTAATATTTAGGATGATCATCCGACGTTGATAAATTAAACGAACGGACAAATGAGATGATGATTTCGAGATCGTTGGACGTGAGACGAAGGGATTCGAAATGAATAGCATTTTTATGTGTAAAACATGTAATGTCTAAATCCTCTTTGTTTCTATTGTTAATCGAGATACGTAATTATAAAAGCAACGATCTTGAAGGTAATTCATTTATTATTTTATCTATTCGTTTTGTTTCGTGCGTTTTTTAATTGAATTAAAAATTAAAAGAAAATTGTTTTATTTCTGTTGTTCCTTTTCTCTTAGATACAAGAAAATGTATTTGAAATTCAGAAATTAACAATAGAATCGAAAGTAATATCTCGAATAAGATGAATTTTTACGATATTCGAATGGAATATACAACTTTATTTTATTTTAATATCATATCGGTAAAAAGTGAAATTTTTCAGAAAAAAAAAAAAAAATTTATTATTTTAATTTAGCCTTATTTCACATAACACGTAGATGGATTTATTTTTTTATATTTTTATTAAAATATTATTAGAAACTCCTAAGTCTTGTAACATGATTTCAATTATTAAAATTATTCCATGAAAAATAAATATAGAAATATTCAAAATCAAAAATTTCCTTAAAAATAGAATATATCGATTATTCTTGAACAGTAATTATAATGTAATTAAAACCTATTAATAACAATGACAAGAAATCAATAATACAGCATAACGAATAATCAAAGAAGAAAGAGAATTTATTTTAATTCGAAATTCTATTTCACTAGAATATTAATTGTATTGCATTGCATGAAACGTCGTAATTGTTTATTAAATCCATTGTATAAAATATTGCAACAACTAATTAATCATATGATCGAGTAATGCAAACAAATATAATGTAATAGAGATCTTTACAAGATCTTCTGAAAATTAAATTTCTACGATTCTCCTTATCTCTTTCGATTTTATGAATACTTCAATTTTATTATATATTCACTGTTATCTTCATGAAAACAATTTAAATACATTATATATTTTTCAATGTAAAAGTTAAAAAAGAAATAATTGGAATATTAAAAAATCTAGAAAAATATAGAAAATTTCAAAATTCATGAAATAAATATTATATTTGTTTTCTAATACATTTCTTATTTATATATATATACATATAGTCTAACCTTTATGATATTTCTTTCATATAATAAAAATATATTATCGATTATTTTTAAAAAAAATTCCAAATGCTTTCAAACTTTTTCGCGGTAGTGTACATGTGCAGTATGAACAAATAAAAAAAAAAAAGTTTCATCTCTTTTTAACCTTTTTCGTCTACCCTTGGATGTCAAGTGCACGAGTAGTAAGGGAGTGAACTTAACGCACAGCTGCACTTGACTTGCACCGCCTGATATCTTTTTGAATATAAGTCGCTGAGATATTCAACAACTTCGAGATAAGACTCGGAGATATTCAAGATATGTTTGACGTTTTCACGTATCGAAACCACGTCCTACATATTTTCCTGATAGCATTTCTATCAAATACATTTGTGTCTCAGCCAAGAAGAAGGGGACAATCGGAATCAAATGTTCCTCTGCAATAACTCAGGAATATCTTCACAATTTTTACTTAATATCTAGGAGCTATGAAGTAATCGTACGATTAGAATTAAAGTTACGAAATATTTTTATAAAAATATAAAAATTGTGTAAGTGATATGGAATTTCATATATGCGATGGAACACACGGAATTGAAAACCCCTTCGATTATTCATAAGAAATGGTTTTAGCGAAGAAACGAATGGTTTCAAGAAAGATATAAATGTAAGTGAATCGTTTTTTTTTTTTTTTGTAAATGGACGCGTAGAGAATATATGAAGATTTGTTTTCTTATATGGAATTATATATTTTGTAAGTTATGTATTCCATTCTATACTAATTTTCAAATTATTTAAACTTATAAATTTTATATAAATTTTAAAAGAAATAATATGTTTGAAATTTTAGTATACAATTCCTATCATAAAATTTATGTATACTTTTTTTTAAATGTTAATATTAAGATTATTTTTAAGATAATAAAAAATTAAATGTAATGTAAAATTTAAAATTATTTATTTGAATTGCTACTTTTCAGAAAGAATCAATATGTTGGAAAATTGAAAACTGTAATCATGTAACAAATATGTACAAATTTTCAGGTGACAAATTTGGATACTTTATCTCAAATTTGAAATTTTCATCAATATTCAAATTAAATTATTTATTATTTAAAATATATAAGTACACGTGTAATTCATTAAACACTTTCAATATACAAAATTAAATAAACAGATACTTTAATAATGAAAAGGAATCTTTGTGATAGATGATATAAAATTAATTTTCTTTGAGTCAAGTTCAAATTAAAATAAATTCACAAAATAAAAATAAAATAAATATATATTTTGGCAATAAATAGTGTATCCTATCGTAAGTAATAATAATTTAATAATAATATTGAAGAACTATTTAAATAAAAATATAAAAAATTTATTTATTCTATGGTATAATATTTTAAACGATTAATCTTTTTTAAAAAATTAAGAAAAAGAACACATTAAACAAAGAGAAAAATTATATTTTAACAATGATATTTGTGGATTAATGTGAAAATTTGAAATGCAATAGATATTATGCACTTCGTATCCAAGGTTGCTTCGCTTTCATTGAATCTATATCAACTGTTACGCTGCATTTGCATAGTTTTCATTGAGGTCATGGGTTAGAGAATGCAAAGATACATAGCATATTTCTGCATATCCCCTCCATACAGCATACCAACACATTGACATACAAGAAATACGTATTAAGCGACATGCACGAAACGTCGCATAATTTGCATATGTGCAAAAGATTCCGTGTCAGTTGGTCATACATTGATTACTTATTAAAGATTCAAATGTGTTACAGCATATAAACTATGCTATATTTATACCGTAATTACCAAGTTGGACGACTATATATTATACAAGTTCTGACAGAAGGTGGACATCCTTTGCAAGAAACTTTAATCGGTTTATAAACATCAATCTTAATTTAGTTTGCATAGTAATCGAAACATTAGATTGTTGAAAAGACAAATTTTCAGATGACAAATTTGGATACTTTATCTCAAATTTGAAATTTTCATCAATATTCAAATTAAATTATTTATTATTTAAAATATATAATATTTCATATCAAATATTTTAATTTGAAAAATTAATTTTAAATATTTTACTATTTAATTTAAACAATTTTCTTCTGAAATTATTCTATCGTTATTTGATTAATTTAAAATAAAAAGAATTTTCCAGTTATTTTTTATTTTATTATGAAGTTTCTTTTCAAAGTTTTTTATTGTATCGATTATATGCAGCAAATTAAGCGAGAAAATCTTGCTAATAAGAACATATTTTTTTAATAGATCTGATATAAACTTAAAAAAATATATATTTATAATTTTACTTCGTAATTTTAACTATACTTATGTTTATTATACAAATATATATAAAATCATTTAATTCGATTCGAATCGATGAAGAAATAGAATTTTATTTTATTTCTTTTTTTTTTTTTTTTTTTTTTAGATAATCTTTTTAATTTGATAATAAAAGACATAATTATATAGCAAAGAAAATATATATAAATATATATATTGTAGATAAGGTTATGTATTTCGAAAATATTAAATTTTAATGAAAAATGAGAAAGATCTAAACAAAAAATATAAAAATACTGTCAAGTTTAGAAGAGTATAAGATGATATAAATGAAAATTGAAGACTTCTAGAATTTAATTTTGACGAGAATAAATTAATAACAAAAAAAAAAGAATAAACAAATTATTCGTTCTTTTATAGATACTAAATAATAGTTATAATTATAGATATAGAAAATGATTGGTTTGTAAATTTTTCTGTATTATCCTAATACTTAGAATTTACAAAATCTTTTAATATATTACACACTTATTTTTGTATCATAATCTGATGAAATATACATACAAATGACAGATATTTGAAATCCACCAATTTTAAAATATTTCATGAATATAATATGTATTTCTATACATATGCACATATTCATACAATTACCTATGTATAATTTTTTCTTTTTAAACAGATTTGATATATAATTCACTAAACTCAGAATTTATGATGCAATTGAATTTCTAACCAAATATATAAGTTATTTCAGGTAAACATATATTACTTATGCTTTTACATGTTATTATGAAAACATATATAATAAAATTATTTAAACCATTTATGAATTAACAAATTTATGAATATATATAATTATGATGTACTCACCAAGACAAGATGTTTATCAATAGGTTACAAGAATCATCAGATATTTCTTCATATTCTTCATATTTTCCACATTGTTTCTCCATTATTTTCACTCAAAGTTCACGAAACCAATTTATAAATACTTTATCACGAAATACTTTGTATCGAATTTATAAAATAAATGTTAGACGTCAGAAAGATGTATTCGACACGACGCGACGCCACGTTTTATACCATTACGCAACGACAGGAAAGAATGTCTAATTGAACACTTCGAAAAAAAATACGAATAGCATTTGTTTTGTTGATATCGAACTCTCGATAAGGAAGTATATACTTATGTTCTTGGAATTTTTGCCTGATTGCGGTCACCTTGTTTTCGTCTTTGTTTCGAACGATATTCGCACATGTCTATTAATTATTATAATTTATATCACTCAAAGCACGTTAAACTACAATACATTCGGCCAATTTAGACGCTATAGAACGCCACCTATACCTATTGTTTAAACTTAATACATTAATCATATGAGATACAATTTATTTAAATTATATATTTAATATTAAATTATAATTTATGAATAAAATTATTTATATATTTTTTAAAAATATGTACTAATTTTTTGAATTGAAAATATGTATATATAGAAATATTTAATTATATATATTTAATTCAATTTGTACATATTCAGTCACTCATTTGATTTTCGTAGCAAGAAGAACTTCCGTGAAGAAGAAGTTTTTAGTTCTAAAATAATTGTCAGTGAAAGTGCGTCATTTGTGTCTTTCTGTTATAATTTTCTATATTATTAGTGTATATAAATGTGTGATTTCAATGAGGATAAATGAACTACTTTCGACAAGCAGATACAATATGGTGAGACTTTTCAAATTTTTAAAATTCTTATTAATAATAAAACATTTTTAAAAGAATTTTTCTCTTTTCAATATATAAGAGAAATTTATATAAAACAGATTAAGATGTCTTTTTGTTCATTATTAGAAAATCATTTTATTCATATTTTAATAATATTTTCATTACGATAGTATAAAATAATTTCTTTCAAATCTTTCTTTCTCTATTCTTCTATTCGGTTTTCAAGAGAAAAGTGATTTTTTGTTCTTAAAGAAAATTTTACAATTTTCCATTACTTCTGTCGAGTTTATAAATCACTTGAAGCGAAAATAATATACGTATAAGATGGAAGCTTTCTGAGAACTTTACTCCGTGTGAAGCATAAAAATTATAACCATTATAACCATATAATTTCATATAATATATGAAAGAAAAATATAAAATTAGTTATGTAATTATATATAACGTATTTTGTTGAAATATTTTTTATTTAAATAAGTTATTAAGTTATTTAAATAAAATATATAAAATTACACAAAATTAATAAAAAATATATTTATATGTTTGATTGATTTATACATTTATTCGTTTAGTGATTTAATCATTTTACAAATATTTTATCAAACTTGAAATAAAGTACAAAGAGTTTCGATATTTTTAATAATTAAAATAATATAAGATGTAAAAGGATTTAATACAATTCCAATATGTTCAAATAATTGAAGCACAGTTATTTCGGCGTAAAGTAAATATACTTGTAGACAATACATTGACACATAATTCAATTAACGTTCAAGGATATTCTATGGCCAAATTGATATCGAATTTATCGGCTATTGAATTTGAAGAACTCGTCTTGTAATTTCCTTCGTAATTGAAATTTTAATATTATATCCGATATCTTTAGTTTTGTTTGGAAAGATTGAATATCAGCAGAACAGATTCGGCAGATTCGTTTCATTATTTCGAAATTATTTCATTCGTTTCTCAATTTCACATGGTTTCAATTTACAAACGATAAAATTCTTCTCATTTGTTAATCGACACATTTTCATTCGACTGTATAATTTAATTATAATTTTTAATTTATTTTAATTATTATTTCGTTTTATATATTTTTGTTCTAATGCATCATTTCTTATCAAATTCTTTTAAATTTTTTAAAAACTTATCAATATATTTTAAAAATATCTAGATTAGCGTCTATTGTTAGATGATATAAATTTTTTATTTGTTTGAAATGATAATATATTTTGAATATAATTTACTATTTATTTAAAAAATATTTATATTTAAGTATAATAATAATTTTTAATTGTTGATCATGGATCATATTTCTCAAAATTATTTATGAATATTAAAAAATATATTTATGTTCAATAAAATTTTAATACTTTTTTATTTTCCGTCGTATTTTCAAAATTTATAACTTGTTGAAAAGTAATTATTTACATAATTTCTTACAATATCTATACATATTACAAAAAATCCTAATATACATATAAAATTAACCATAATAATAAATCATCTCGTCAACATCATAAGATACATAAAAATAAATCTGATGTTCCTGACGTTACATCAAAGAGAACAGTATCTCGACTTTTATTCACAGAGACAGAAGATTAACCTTTCACCGTCACGAAACCTTTCACCATCCTCGGTTCTTATCCTGTCAATGGTAAGAAAAATGTTTTCCGGTCAAAATTAGTTTCACGAGGTACTAGCCTACTTTGGCGAATTCAGAATTCGGAAGCGCTTCGATCGGAAGGGATATAGAGGTAGGGATGCATCAACGAAGTAGTTTCGAGATAGGCTGAAGTGCATTCGCGTAGCACAGTCGTAGGCGGGGTACGTAGTTACGTGAAAATCCACGATCGCAGAAACGAACTTCTCGGTGGGGTGTAACTTCTTGGCCTCCACTAGAAAAGAGTGGAGCACGACTCGAGTAGGCGGAGTACTCGCGTGTCTGTGAGCTTTAACGGTTCTATGGTATTATGAGCGAAGTCAGCGCTAGGTGCACTCTCTTTTCCTCTTTACCATCTCACTATTACCCTCCCTCGCTCCATTCCACCCTTCTGTTGGCCCCCATCGCGTCTCTATTTCCGTTTCTCACCCCAGTTTTGTGCGTTCGCCCTAAAGAAGAGACGAGTAAGAAAGATGGGAGCGAAGAAAGAGGGATTGGAGAGAGAAAGGAGTTACTCGACGTATCTCATATAGGTGTCTCCTATAACAACATTTTTTTTTTTTTTTTTTTTTTTTTTTTCTTTTTTCCCTCCTTTTCTGTTTTTCTACAAAGAGTAACCCGTTTTTTCAAGCCGTGAAAAAATCTCGACGAACGAAACGTACGGTAAATGGTACTACACGGTTTTACGCAAAATCTTGGCATTTTATGGCCGCTTTCGAGACGTACTTCATTAAAGATTTTATTGTTTCTCGTGTTTATTGTTCCAGCTTGTAGCGTGAATGGATTAAATTTTTGTTTAGATTCGCGTTACGACGAACTGGTTATCGATTTTTTCTTTTTATTCGTGATGGATACAACACACGATATTTGCACTTTAGAATATTTAATTTTTGGTGAAGTTTAAGTCTTTATGATCTTTACGAAATATTTGTATTTCAGAATAGTTGATTTTTCCATCCACGTCGTTTCCTTATTTTTTTATTCGTTTCCAAATTGTCAATTAGTTCCTTCCTTTCGTCTGCACGTCACGTTCACGAATGTGCAATTGCGACTACCAACTATCGGCTATCAATGACAGGACAAGATGAGTCAGAAGCATCACAGACGGCTAGAATCCTCGTTTGATTAGGTTCGTTAATGTACCTGCCACTGTCAATTGAGATAGACTGATATTCTACAGACCATCGAGGGCACTTTATCAGTTTGATATGTTATCGGCTCAAATCAACGAGTAGTCATCTTATGTAGTACGTATACGATTAAAGAAATACTGTCTTTTGATTGGCATAACATGCCTATTACGTTTTAATTGGTGTCGCGTCGTTACGAAATGCAAAATGTGTATCCAATTTGTGTCAAATAGTATTTATAAAACAAATACAAACATATATGTGATATAAACGACGATTTGAAATTTATTAAATAATTTAAAGATATTTAATTTTGTTCTTAAGATTGAGGAAAGAGTTAAATACTTTTTTGTCTTATTTTATCTTTTTTGCATCAAAATATAGAAGAAAATTTTTGTCGATAATAAATTGTTTTTTTATTTATATATTCTGTTTTTAATTTTTCATAATATAACAACTTAATATTTTTAATATTTATAACTATATATAGTGATTCAGTAAAATTTTTATTTTCTGATTAATCATTATTTTGAAAAAAAATTATTGCAATAATTTATAAGATAAATAAAATTTTAAAATAATTTTTAAACAATTGATTAGATTGTTTATCTTAATTAAGGAAAATTTTATTATCGTAATTAAAAATCATATCTTTTCATGTGTCTCGTCAATTGAAATACACAAATAGAATTGAGATAAAACCAAAATCAGTTTAATTCATGGTGACTGTGTAGTTTGAGTGATTTTCTTGATTTAAAAGGATTCGTGTTTAAAAGGATTATCAGTAAATGGAGATCAAAGATAAATTCCAGAAAGTTTTATCCTTAGAATTTCGTTTAAATGAAAGTTAAATTAAACTCAATTCTCAATTTCTGCTTCTGCATAGTCCTTGATCATTTTAGAACCGTGATTCGTTTAACTGCAATTTTCTGATAAGGTTAAATTTACGATCATCTGTCTTTCTTGCTTCTTTCTTTAATCATAGCGTTAATTATAAACCTCTTCTTCTTGATTATAATAATTTTCTGCAGCTCGAAATTATCATATCCATTTTTATCTTCTTCTTCTAAGAAAGAAAAAAATTATAAAAAAATTAAATTAATATTTCGATTAATAATAATTATTATATCTTCTTTTTATCTTTTATTTTTATTTTTAGAATTTTTAGAATTTCCGATTTATTATTTAAATCTTTAAAGATTTGTAGAGACATTCAAGATAATTACCGGGCAATTTTCTTTCTTGGCTACAATTCAGTTTTTCAGAATGAAAATACTTTTTTTTTAGAAAAAGGATTTGAGATTTCATTATTATTTCCTCGTGTTTCTCTATATTTATTATAATAGAGATATGAAAAAAATAATTGTTCTACGCTTTATAAAATTACGCCATTAAACTGTTAAAAAATTTTTATTCCGATAAAAAGGATTATTTAACAACTTTTAAATTTTTAGATATGTGTGTTCAATTATGGAACAAATGTGATATTCAAATAATTTTAATTTAGTAGCGATAACTCCCTCGAGATGCTTTACGATCCTTCAAAGTTTTAAAAAAATTTCAAGTTATCGAAGTTCCTTACTTTTAAATCAAGAAAATCACTCAAATTACACTGTCACCATGAATTAAACTGATTTTGGTTTTATCTCAATTCTATTTCAATTGACGAGACACATGAAAAGATATGATTTTTAATTACGATAATAAAATTTTCCTTAATTAAGATAAACAATCTAATCAATTGTTTAAAAATTATTTTAAAATTTTGTTAGTTGTTAACTTTTACGCAAAATATATTAAAGAAACTTTTAAATGAATCTAATTAGATATCTTTAATCTGATATATATATATATATGAAAAGTTCTGATGAGAATCTATTAAACTGTAGCTATTGAATTAAAAAAAAACTAAAATATCGAAAATTTATAAAATATAAGTCGTGTTGTTAATTGTTAAATCAAAAATTCGAATTTGATTAGAAGATCAATCGAGTAGGATGATGCGTCAGTATACTAAAATACAAGGGGTCCTATTACTAATATTTATTCAGGAGAAGCATGTTTCCTCGTCAAACGATTTGGCATCCGCAGAGAAGCGGGCAAATATTCCTTATACATATAGGTGGCACTTTGGGGGTAAATTCGGGTCACACAAGCAATCGAGAGTGTATTAACTAGCTCTCAACGAGAATTGAGTTATGCCA